CGGCCGCTGTGCCCGCAGAGCGCCATGGGCCGCGTGATCCGGGGCCAGAGGAAGGGCGCCGGCTCCGTGTTCCGCGCGCACGTGAAGCACAGGAAGGGCCCGGCCAAGCTGCGCGCCGTCGACTTCGCCGAGAGGCACGGCTACATCAAGGGCATCGTGAAGGTGGGGTGTCCCGGTGCGCGGCAGCCCGGGAATGCAGAGGGGGCGGGCGGCACGCTGGCAGTAATGCAGTTGTGGGTTAGTTTTGCCCAATGTCGGAGCATGAGCGTGTTTCTGTACCTCTAAAAACTTGCTGTAGCTGGTGAAATGTGGGTGGGCGGAGTTATGCCAGTAGCACCTAATAAAGAGAGATCCACAACACTCCCAGATCCTTAGTAGCATCTATCATTTTAGCTCCTAGCTGCATAGGATAGGCAGTGGCCTGGTTTGGGTTGCAGTAATGCTGTAACAGCTCTGCTGCAGGTGTGTTTTTTTGAAAATGGGGGATTGTGATCCCAGTAACTGGCACTGGTGCCCGGCCACACATTTCAGAAAAGTCTAGACAGCGATGGGGTCTTTCAGAGCAGGGTGATTTTTTGGTTTGGGGAAGGAACTTTGTTTGCGCTCTTTGTAATTCTGTTTGAAACAAATAGGTAAGCAGTTTTGATAGAAACTTATACAATACTCTTTTTTTTTCTTGTTTAGCAGGATTGAAGATGGGGATTGTGATCCCAGTAACTGGCACTGGTGCCCGGCCACACATTTCAGAAAAATCTAGACAGCAATGGGGTCTTTCAGAGCAGGGTGATTATTTGGTTTGGGGAAGGAACTTTGTTTGCGCTCTTTGTATTTCTGTTTGAAACAAATAGGTAACCAGTTTTGATAGAAACTTATACTTTTTTTTTTCTTTCTTTCTTGTTTAGCAGGCAACTAAACTAGCAACTAAAATGCTGGGCACCAATAAAACCTGAGTGTTCCCAGACAAGCCACACAGGTTAAAGAGCTGCAGTTATTTAGACTGAGTTGCACTGCATTTGAACCATAAATATAGTTTAGGACATAACCATAAAGGGGAACGCTAGTGAAAGCAGTGTGATTTCTGAAGAGCCTGTAACAAACGCTCCAGTCTGTTCTAAAGCTCATCCCGTTTCCACCAGGACATCATTCATGATCCGGGCCGTGGGGCTCCCCTTGCCAAGATCGCCTTCCGTGACCCGTACAGGTTCAAGAAGAGGACCGAGCTCTTCATTGCTGCTGAGGGTATCCATACTGGGCAGTTCGTTTACTGCGGCAAGAAAGGTGAGTCGAGGCTAGCGCGTTGCCCACGTAAGTCCTGGGGGGCTGAAATGCCCATGAGCCGAGCATGGCGGGTCAGGATGTTTAACTGCGACTGCAGGCCATGAAGCAGTGGATTCCACCATCTTTAAGCAAGCCCAGTCTGCTTTGAGCCTGTTTTAATTGACCAGCCTATCCACAGTGTTGTCAGGTCTTGAAAGTCATTTAATCTGCAGTCACGTTTTGCTCCTCTGTTAAACTGCCTTGTCAAGCCAGACAGTGAAAAGAGCTGTTGGTGCCCGGTGCTGTTGGGTGCTTTTGTCATGCCCTATGGGAGCCTGAGCGCTGTCCAAGAGCGAGAAGGAAGCCGTTGGCACCCCGTGTTTGCTCGTTGCAGCTCAGCTGAACATCGGCAATGTTCTGCCCGTTGGCACCATGCCAGAAGGCACCATCGTCTGCTGCCTGGAGGAGAAGCCTGGTGACCGCGGCAAGCTGGCCCGTGCTTCGGGGAACTACGCCACCGTCATCTCCCACAACCCCGAGACGAAGAAAACCAGGGTCAAGCTGCCCTCTGGCTCCAAGAAAGTGATTTCTTCTGCCAACAGGGCTGTTGTGGGTAAGTAGGGGCCCACTTCCCAGTGCTGCACATGTAGTGCTGAGATGTACAACATAAGGTTAGGCCTCTGTTCTTTCAAGTGACCTACATCAGTGGACCCATATGAGCCATGTGTGCCCAGCTGGGCTCTGCGCGTGGGTGCCTGGGAGCCTTGCATGGGACGAGGGAGCTTCTTAAATATGGGGAGGCTTCGAGTTAGTGAGGGGATAGCAGGGGGGTTACTGGCAGCGCTCAAACTGCAGTGGGATTGTGCAGGATGTAAAATCCCTGGTTGTCTGGGGAAGAAGGCATGCAGAAAACAGCACTCGAGGCTTCCTGCTCTCAAGGCACCTGCAGCCTGTTGTACTGTTGCTCAGGGTATCCAGCTGCTGTAGGTGGCAGTGGTTGGACGAAACACCCTGGAAGGCCTAACAAGGAGTAGAAGAAATCCCACTGTTAAGAAATGTGTTGAATCAGATGTGGTAGCCCCTTGGCTCCCAGCAGAGCGACAGCAAGTAAGTGCTACTTGAAGGAGCCCTGGGCATGTGTTAAAATGCAGCTCTGCCTGCAGGAGCTGCTGCCAGGCTTAAGCAGCTAAACGTGCATTGATAGGCACAGCAGCAGGCAGTGTCCCTGCCTCTGGTCAGGAGACATCAACATGAATAACAACCACTCAGTCCTACAAGAGAAGCAGACTACAGAACTCATACCCAGGTCTTAAGCCTCAAGGAACCAGTCTTTTCAGGTCTTTGAGTTGATACTTTATTTAATTGAAAAAAATTGTTAATTAGCTCATGTAGTTCAAGAAAGCCTAGCAAGAAAATAGATAACTCTTGAAGAAGAGTCTTGGGGGAAAAAAAAACCTCAATCCTGTCTGAGTACAGAGGAGACCTAGTTGGGATTGTTAAAGACTGGTCTTAGAGCCCTAATCTTAAAATGAGAGTGTTACTTGGAACTAGTCTCCTGCTAAGCATTTTTTTTTCTTGTGTTCTTGTGTGTTGCACTTGCGTGTTACCATTTCTGCAATCAATTCCAGGTATTGTCGCTGGTGGAGGCCGTATTGACAAGCCAATCCTTAAGGCTGGTCGTGCCTACCATAAATACAAGGCAAAGAGAAACTGCTGGCCACGTGTCCGTGGTGTGGCCATGAATGTGAGTCAATTTTCAGTTATGCTTTTCATTTGATTCTTTGCTGGTGAGGGGAGTGTTTGTTGAAGTAGACTGCGCTTAGAAGAGGTAGGGAGGTTTCTGCCAACAAAGATTCCCTGAACACTTTATGATTTCACATTCAGTCGGGGTAGTCAGCAGTGCTTGAGAGTTACTATGTGAAAATAGCGAACAGCAACAGCGATAAGAATGAACAAAAAGTTTAAAAGTTCATTGATCACTTTTGTTAATTGCATTCCCGACTTCTTGCTTTCTTTCTCCACAGCCTGTAGAACATCCCTTCGGTGGTGGCAACCACCAGCACATTGGCAAGCCCTCGACCATCCGGAGAGATGCTCCTGCTGGGCGCAAAGTTGGTCTCATTGCTGCCCGTCGCACGGGCAGACTGCGTGGAACAAAGACTGTACAGGAAAAGGAGAACTAAGTACCGCACCTGGAGTTTACAGAATAAATTTTCAAAGCTTACTTTGTGTGAGTTGTGTTGCTAAAAATTGGATAGTGCTCAGGAGGGTTGAGAGTTTGATCTGCAAGCCCAGCTGAGCTAGTTAAAGTTGTTCACCTCTACAGAGACAGTTTGAATGGAGTTTAAAACTTGTTTTTCTCTGTTTATCTGCTACTGTTCTCTTGAGGAAAGGCTTCCAAGTGTGGTGGGACCTCCCTACCCAGGAAATACTTTTCAACCACTACTGTCAAGTTTGGGATCTAATCTAAGAGGACCAAAAAGTTAAAGGGAGGGTTTTATACCCAACCAGGCTATGCATTTGTCTTGACAAGTAGTAACTAAAGCCTTTATTGTAGCATCAATCACAACTAGGTTGATGCAGGGCATCACACCTGTAGGTGCAGAGGGTGAGGCTATGTTCCTTTCTTCACTATTTGCAATAGAAGTAGAAACTCCTGCTCCGTAGCATGATTGCAGCAGCTGGGATGCTTTTGGTGAGAAATCAAAGCTCTTCATAACCCTAAAGGAGTAATGAGGGCAGGGAGGAAGTTACACTGACCTAATCCGGGAAACAGGAGTTTCTGCCCAGGCATGGTGAAGTACTTTTCTTGCTCTAATAAATGCTGCTGCCCTAATACAGGGCCTGAGAGGTCTGTCGCAGCTGCATCGCTTTACTCGATCTAGCAGCAGTGGAGCAGTTATGTGTAAATCTGTATCAAGAGCTTAAAAGGAGTAGTTTATATTTTTCAAAACCAAGTAAGCTGGAAACATGCAGCAGTATGTATGTTGCATTTAAGTTTTGCTGCTAAACCCTAGAGTTGTGACAGAATGGGAAAATAAGCATCCTAGCTTGAAAATTCTTGTTATAAACAGTTTATCTATCTCTTTTTTTTAATATAGTAAAAAGGATTAAGTGTTATTTTACAAACCTGAAACTTCACCTGAATTCAAATATATGTGCAGTGCTTACTAATGCTCTTAAACTTCAAAGTAAAGAGTAGGG